ATCAAAATAGACTCTCTTGCTATCTTCCAGAAATGTCATAGACTTATATTTCACATTTACATATGTGATTCACTTTGAGTTTGGGAAAGATGTAATTTGTTCCTAGATTCACTTTTCTACTTGTGTGTGTCCTATTGTTTGAACACTCCTGGTGAGAAAAGAGGCTCTTTACTCTACTGTACTGCCTGTATCAGTTTGCCACACAACACCTGGCTACATCTGGGTGGGCCCATTTCTGGGCTCTCAAATCTGTTCCTTGATCCAGTCTATTAGTCTGCAAATATCAACTTGTCTTTATAGTAAATCTTAAAGCCACCCAGTGACAACCCTTTAGCTTTGATTTCATTTAATATTGTTAGCTTTTCTGATTCTTTTGCCTTTCTATATATATGACTTAAGAACAGTTTGTCAACATCCATGAAATAACTTCCTGAAATATTGACTCAGATTATACTGGAACAGATCCAAGTTGGGAAGTGCTGACATCTTGAGAATAGTAAATCCTCCTTCATAGACTCTCTCTCCTCTTTATTTCTGTTTTGGTTCTTATCTTAAAACATTTTGATTGTATTCTATTAGGAAATCTATTTCACTTTGGGGTAGTGTGCTCATATAAATGTTGCTGTATCTTAATTTCAAATTTCACTTGTCCATTGTTGGTTTTGAGGAAAATGATCTTCTGTGCATTGGCTTTATATTCTACCTTGCTTAATTTTATTATCTTAATTGCTCATTATTTCGTTGGATTTTTTTTTAAAGAAGATGATTATGGCATCTTGAACAAGGACAGTTTTCTTTCTTCCCAATCAGGATACCATTCACTTCCCTTTTTTCTCTTAATGCACTAGACAGTATTATAATATGGTGTTGAAAAGCACGGAGGAAAAAAAAATCTTGTCTTGTTTCTCATCTTACCAAGAAAACTTTGTGTTTTTCACATTAAATGTAGTGTTATAAATAGGCTTTTTGGAGCAATTTTCCATCAATGTACAAATGATTCTACAAAAAAATATCTACACATATGATCATGTGATTGTTCTTTTATATTCTGTTACTGGACTGGACCACATGCAATGGTACTGGAATGCTGAACCCAGCTCATGTACTTGAGTTGATTCCACTTGGAGTCTGTAATTTCCTTCAAGTTTTATTAGTTTGAAAAATGTTTCATTTTCTCAATAATAATTTCATAGCCTAAAGTGTGTCAACACTCCCTTCACCCAACATTTAAAGTATTTCCTTTACTCTCTTATTGTCTGTGCCGTTTCTGAGATGAATTTAGAAGTAATTCTCATCTTTGCTCATCCACAGATAAATGATAAGAGCATCATTATCTTCTTCCCATTTCTTTTTCTTTAGCTGTGACTTTTCTGTTGATTAAAAATATCTGTCTTAATGCAATTTTTGTTACTTGTCTTGCTTGGTGGTCTATTTTCTGAATCTGTGGTCTGTTTATGGCCTCTGTTTTCTGGATCTGTGGTCTGTTTGTGGCCTCTGTTTTCTGGATCTGTGGTCTGTTTGTGGCCTCTGTTTTCTGGATCTGTGGTCTGTTGGTGGTCTCTGTTTTCTGGATCTGTGGTTTGGTAACTAGCCAACAAGAGACACTTCCATCATTAGCAATTCAATTATTTCCTCTGTTCCTTTATGTCTTCAATCTGATAAGACTACAATATGTATTTGCACTTCATCTACCATTTCCAGTCCTTGGCTTCCTTCCTTCCTTCCTTACTCCTGTCCTTTATTTATTTTGGGCCTTGGTTTTCTGTTTTGCAGTTTTATGAGTTTGCTACCCCCCATCCTCAATCTCAGAGGTTCTTTCCTCTGCTGTGTCCAGTCTACTAGAAAGTCACAAAAATTTACTCCTTTTCCTTACAGTAGTTTTTCTTCATCCACTCACGCATTTATTCAGGAATACTTCTTTTTTTTCCATATGACATATTTTGATCCTGTCTTCTGCTTCCTCCGATTCCTTCCAGATCCTCCCCACTTTGCTACCACCGAACACTTTGTGTTCTTTCTGTTTCTCTCCAGAAATAGAAACAAAATAAAAAATGAAAATCAAAACAAATAAAAAATTAGTAAGACCAAAAAAATACCAAAATGAAACAAAACATCCACCAACACAGACACACACACAACACGGAGTCTGCTTTGTGTTGGCCAGCTATTCCAAAGCCTGCTGCCTGCGACCTGCTGCAGACTGTGGCTGACACCCCACTGTTGTCTTTCCCAGCAGGTATTGATTGCAAATAGCTTCTTGGTTGGAGGCGGGACCCTGCCACTTCTCCTTCCCAGTGCTGGGACTTCTCTAGATTGAACCTGTGCAGTTCTTGCAGGTGCTGTCACAGTCGGCGTGAGTCCATTCGTGCATCAGTCCTGTCGTGTCTGCAAGACTGTTTCCTTGGAGGCATCCACCACCGCTGGCTTTTATAATCTTTCTGCCTGAGTATAATATTTTGAACTACTTCTAAAATCTTCTTAAAATGTTATCTTAGCCTGTCCAAGATCTCTCCGCTTCCACCGTCCATCTGCTCCTGTCTGCTGTCCAGATTATTAATTCAAACCTTATTCAATTGCATATTACCCTATTTGCAATTGCAGGTTAACATTTCCACTGTCCTTTCCATCGCTCAGTGTGGTTGTGGTGAGTTCCATCTCTTCAAACTGTGTTTACTGTCTTCAGTATGCCTTATAAATTTTTGGTATTTCAAAGTGATGTACCGTATAAAAAGTACTGTTATGAACTGTTATCAACTATGCCGTTAGTAGTGTGGTGGTAAGAAGTGTTTTGTCCTCTTACACTTGGATCTCAGTCTGTCAATGAACCTGTTTCTTGACTATGAACTTCACCAGCACTTCTTGGTATTTTCACGCCCTCTTGGGTGGGGCAGGGTAGACAGAATTGGCTAATGTTGGATCCTCGCTTTCCCCTCTTCAGTTAGGTGTAGACAAAACTCCAGCAGTCGGGCTCTGATTAAACAAGGTCTCTCTAAAAGCCGGTCTCGGTAAGAACAGAATGGCCTGACTTACTTTAAAATGGTTATTCTTTCATTTCCCTTGCCGCAAGAATGAGGGGGTCTTTCTCTAATGTCCATCAGAACTAGGTTATAGTCAGAGGCAAAGCTCACAAAAGTGTGGCACCCCTTAAACCTGTCTGGACACCTCTAGTGCTTCCTCCTCACATCTGTCCACACTGAGCCTCTGCTGAGCTGCCAGGACTTTTCACCATGCTGGTTCTTGTTTCCTACCGAACTTGTATGTGGAGTTTGCTCCTATGTGTAGTCTCCTGTCTCCCTCCAGGCTGAGGGAGTCGGTGGTTCACCTTATGATGTCAGCTGTCTACGGCAAATGTCTTGTGAAGAGTAAACGAGGCACTGTGATATCCTCAGCAGAACATTGATCACAAGCCAGTGTTTAGTAAATGTTAACCATAGTTAATATTCTAATAATGAAACATTAACAGATGTAGGAAAGAACCTTTACTGTGGTTACTATTAATAATAATAAACTTGAGAAGACAAAGTCCGAAAGGAGAATAAACATGAATTTTTCTGGATGTTTTTCTGTTTCGTTTTTTGGAAAAGGACAGTATGTTTTCAGTTTAAGTAAGTCAGAGTGGATGTGTTCAATCATTCACACAAGAGTAGCTTCATTTCATTAAGTAAAAATATTTATGAGAATTCTATCAATTATGTTATTTACTAATAATACACCAACAAAGATAAGCCATAAGTAGTAGTGTCATGCAGTCAGCAATTACATATAAATGTGGGGTGAGTTTTACATGTATCTTCTCATTTATTTATTCCTAAGTCATACAGATTTCATAACCATTTGATAGGGGATACAGTAACAAAATGACTACTAGTCTAGTTGCTTTAAGAAATAAATAAACAAGACCAAAATGACAATGGTATGGTAGACAATCATACATTTTGCCTTAGGTACAATATGTCTGTGTAAGTTTCCTCTTTCAAAAGAATAATTTCATATTGTGATGGTTAGTTTTAATTATCAATGACATAATCTAGAATCACATAGGAAGAGTCTCGATGTAGGACTATCTACACCACATTGGTCCTTGGGCATGTCTTTGGGATTATATTGACTATATTAAAAAACTGGGGTGGAAAGATGCATTCACTGTGGGTAGCACCATTCCAAAGGCAGGGGATGCTGAACTACATAACAGTGGAAAAACTGAGCTGATGTAATCGTTGCTCTCTGTCCTTGATCATGGATATGATATGACCAACTTCTTCAAGCTCCTACCTCTGATTTCAAGCAAAATTATGACTTTGCTATTATGGAAGGATGTAACCTGGAGTTGTGAGCTAAAAATTAACCTTTTTACCTAAAGCTTCTGTTAGGGCATTTTATCACAGCAACCAGAAAAGAGACTAATTTTCTAATTTACGATCAATTTAATATGCCAGAGTAACAGTAGTGCAATTTAATTTTTTTAGATGATGTATAATTTGAATTATATTGAGTTTTTTTCTGAGTCAACTAGTTTACTATTTACTTTCAATAACATTATCAACAATGCTAGCTCATAGCTACTGTGATGTTCCAACTTAACAGAATGCTCACACTTAGAGTCATTCTAAATTTAATATTTTGTTATAATTAGCCATAAAATTACAAGTAAATGATTTTAAAATTAATCATTTCTTCTTTGTTCAATTCTAAATTCCATTTACAGTGTTCAATGTTCTGCATTTTAACCCCATTTTATTTAGTGAAATTAAACATTCTTTTAACTTAAAAAAAAAAAACTAAGGAAAGAGTTGCTTTGGTGATACACAATAATAAACTTTCTATACATTTGTCAGGAAAGGTGAAGTGCAAAAAAGGTAACAGAGGTTTGATTTTGATATAATTTAGAGTTTTTATAGGAGGGAGAAAAGTAGAAAGCAAATGATGTTGTATTGCCTCAATCCACTAGCCTACCAAGAATTCTTGTATTTTGTGAAAATAAATGGTAATCATACACTGACCTTGGACTCATCTAATCCAAGCTTCTTTAGAGACATTCTGACATAATCCAGAAAGGAAGAACATTTGGAATAAATTTTACCAACGTGCCGATCACTGCAAAACAAAAGTGAATCTCTTTTTAGTTTTTTCCAACTGAAAGTATAGATGGTTTTGAATTTCAACATGGAATATTTTAAAATATCTTTCATATATATGGCATAAAATCCAGATGTGATAAAAATGAAGTAATACTTTTGTGACATTTGTTAAGTGACATTATGTTCAGGATCTGCTTTAGAGAATTCTTGGAAAACACAGCAGTGGAAGACAATATTCTGAACACAATACTATGTAAGAGACACTTCAAATTTATACTATTAAAAATCTCAAGTTTAACAAGGAATAGGTTCTCGAAATTTCCACTGTGCTCAAAACACATTCTACTTTTATTGGCATGACATTACACTGCACATTTTATTGCAACATGTTCTAACGGGGGCAATACTTCAGCTGCTATCCAAAGAGAACTCCCAAGCACTAACAGCCAACTGGGGCCTGACTACCATTTATGCCTTGCAGATCTACATTGTATTTTAAACAAAGTATCACGAAATAGTTTTCAATTTAAGTAATTCTACGCTAGGCTGTCACATCTCTCAATTTGGGCCGCAACTAAGCATAAAATAGAAATCAGAGGCATAAAAAAATAATCAGTACCTACATGCTATCAAAAGTGATAAATGAAGCCTCATTTTCCCTTGACAGAACATTAGACCCATGATTAGATCATTATATTCTATCCTTCTACCTTTGCAATGGATCTTAGATCCCTTAAGCTACACTTCAAGACAGCAGCCTCAGTTCTATTTACTATGTCATATAATTGTGATTCCAACCATTTTCTCAAGTCTTTTTCTTATTACTGTTTGAGAATTTTATAGCTGCCTCCATGAGTATGATACTTGGGTCAAATCCACCCCCATTTCTTCCTAATTCCTCCCCTTACCCCTTTAACCACCCTCCCCATTGCCTTTTCCTCCCTGCCCCATGTGCTGTTTTTAGTAAACCCATAAAGTCCACTTAAGTGCTGTGTGTATGTGCAAGGGTACAGGACCATCTACTGAAACACGGGTAGCCTCTCAGGGGTCTTATAAAAACTGGCTCTCCCTCCCCAGTTTCCATCAATTGCTAATAACTCTTGAGCTAGGAGTGAGATTCCATGACCCCCACCTCGCTCATTCATGTAAAGTAATTTGGCTAGCTTGATGTATTAGGCATGCAAGTCACAGATTTATGTGTTCAATGACCCTCTGATGTCCGGCAAATCTGGCTTTACTACAGAAGTCCACTACCCATGGCTTTTTACAGTGTTTTCCCTTTCTCTTCTGAAATGATTCCTGAGCCTTAGGGAGGAGAAGTATGATGCAGATGTCTCATTTAGAGCTAAGCACCCTAGTGTGTGAGCCTCTTAGTCTCTTATTCTCTGCAGGCTGGTCAGTTGTGGACCTCTATATTAATTACCACTGCCAAAAGCATCTTCTCTGATGCAGGCTGAGAGATGTCCTACTCTATGGGTATAAAGATAAGAATATAGGGGGCACCATATTGCTACTAGTTAGCAGAATAATATTAGGTTGTTGGGGAATATTATTCTAAGGTGTGTTACTTTTGTTCATGTTGCCTTTTTTTTAACTCTGTGAAGCTGTGTTATTGTGCCTGTCTAAAGCACCTGATGGGTCTAATAAAGAGCTGAACAGCCAATGGTGAGGCAGGAGAAAGGATAGGTGGGGCTGGCAGGCAGACAGAATATATAAAAGGAGAAATCTCGGAGAAGAGGAACAAGTAGCCAGTGAAGGAGGGGGACATCAGGGCCCCCCAGCTACACAACAAGCCATGGAGTAAGAAACAAAGAAAAGTATACAGGAACAGAGAAAGATAAAAGCCAGAGGCAAAAGATAGACAGGATAATTTAAAGTTAAGGAAAGCTGGCTAGAAACAAGCCAAGCTAAGGTCGGGAATGTATAAGTGATAATAAGCCTCCCTGTGTGATTTGTTTAAGAGCTGGGTGGCGGGCCCCCCAAAAAAGCAAAAACAAACAACACTAGGTTGCTCCCTAGGGCCCATGACCTAGGCAACTATGGAATTTTGGCCCAGTTAAAAATCCTAGGCATGAATTCCATCTTGTGATGTTGACTTTAAATCAAGCCAGAAGGTTTTTGGTTAGTCCCATAACATCTGTGCCACTATTATATCAATGGACATTTTTTTTTTAACCAGAACAGCTGTTACATAACTTCCAGTGTTCACAGATGAATAAGACTTCTGATGACTTTTCTTTGCCATTAACATTGCTTAGAATCTTCCAGAACCATGAAAATTAGCAAGGATAGACCCTCCAGGTATCAGCTTGATAGTTTTCATATCCTATGGTTCAAGTATATGGTGTCTTCAAAAAAAAAAAAAAGGTTTTTACTATCAAAGTCTGGAAGGTAACCAAAATCAGTGGCAATAGCATGTAAGTTCTTTTTGTTTGTCAAGGGTGTGTCTATGGTGCCGCATTGCCTAATAACTCAGAGAGACAACCCACATCTGACACTGGTCTTTTAATTTAATGGACTATGGTATCTGGGAGAGGGACTGTCCCTGTAGAGGGTAACACCACCATTAACCTCCTTGTAAGTATGTATATGTATGTACTTTCGGAAGCTTCTCCAGTAGGTTTCTATAAGGCATTTTCAAAGGTCTTTAGTGTTAGTTATCCCTCCCCATATTCCTTTCTCTCCCACGCTTTCTCCTCTCCCACCCCATTTGACCCTTTCTGTCCCATTATTCCTCTTTCCCCCATCATACTGCCAATATTCTACCCCCTGCCTTGAAATCTTTCTTCATTTCTGTTAATATATGCTTTTAGAAGTACATGTTTAGAACCATTTTGTCACTTCTCTGCCCTCAAAGTTGTGAATAACTATTCTATTAAAAAGAATAGAGAATCCTTACTTATACAACCAGGACCCACATTTATGACAGCATTTTTCCACCTTTTCACCCACCATTCATTATATTCTAGACTTTAGTTTTCTCTCCTTAAGTGTTTGCTTCCTGGTTTAGATTGTCCACCACATGTTTGCCTTGTTTTATCTACTCACATAATCACTTCTAAACAGGTGAGGAGTTCCTCACTCTTCTCACTTATACTAGTCAATCATGTGGCAAAGCTCAGGTGTACATATTCTTTTTGGTAAAGTAGTTAGCCATCTGCTTATTCTGAATTTCTACAGCCCTTTTTATCTTTGCATCCAATTTGTTATTTTTCCACTGTCTTGAATGAAAAGGCATTAGTAATCATAGGTGGACTTTGAGGAAGCAGAAAAAAGAAAAACTTTCACAGGGCTATGTGTCATTCTTATGCATAACAGACATTGATATGATAGACAGGTACTTAGACACCACAGAACAACGAACCAATGAGCTAGTCAGAAAAGATTCCACTTAATGTCATTTCATGACTTTCACCTTAAGAACACTTGCAGGGTAGTCTCCCCACCCCCAAAGGGAAAAGCCATTAAGGTTTTCCCTTGATGCAAGGATTCTGGTGATTCTCTCCTACTCACTGTTACCTTAGTGGAGTCCCTCAACAGAGAAAGTAAACACTATAGTCTAAAAAAATAAGAGAAACATTTTCAATTTTGATCTGATCATGCCTTACTTTTCCTTTTTAGAGTATACTTTTACTGTTCCAAAATCTTACCGCATAGTTATTGTTAATACTACTTTTAGTATATTATATAATAATTTGTTGCATAAGACATTTGAAATCTTTTATTTATCTGGAGCAATAACAGGAGGAAACTATAAGCCAAATAGAACAAGAAAGGTGACTGGCCGGGTCACTCTTGCTTTTTAAATTCTTTAAGAGTGTCTCATGAATCTTGAACCTTGAGAGTAAGATGTGAACCCTTCTTTGAGTGAAGAAGCCTGTTCTGGGGTTCTCACTGAGCTCCAACATTGTGTTATGACACTGTCTCCTCAGCAACACTGGCATTTTAACAGCTTTCTTGAGCACACTTTCTTTTAACTGTAAACACTAGTCTTGGAACAACATTCATTCCATTTTCCAGCCTTGTCCTTGGAAGCCCGAAACCCCTTCAGATCCTCCTCAAACATTGCTTCCTTTAGGATCCCTTCTCTAGCACTCCAGGTGAAATTGGATTCCTGACACAAAACATTTCTTTCATATATTCTTAATTTTCTGACTATCATGTCTTTCCTTTAAGCTAGTGGGCTTTTCCAAAGGGGAAGAGTATTAGAATTTTATCCCTCCTTCCCTCCCTCCCTCCCTCCTTCTTTCCTTTTCTCCCTCCCTCCCTCCTTCCCTCTCTCTCCCTTTCTTTCCCCCTTCCTTTCTTTTCTGCTTTTTTGAGCTCGTTATAAAAGTTATACACTACCATATCACAGATAAGCATTCACTTTATGTGCATATTCACAACTATTGACAAAGACATGACATTTAAATTTATGTCTGCAATCACTACTCTAAGTGCTAAAGAAAAGGTTCTGCTTTGTTCATGACCATATTGCTAGTACCAAGCACAGAAGGAATATATGGCAGGATCCCAATAGTGGATTCAATCATTAATCAAAAATGTTGTACCAGAACAAATCTTGTTACACAATAATAGGGAAATACATCACTAAGCAGATCTACTTTTTGTACTCAGATAAAGACAAAGGCAAGCCTAACTATACAAACAAATATAAATTAGTACATGGTGAGAACTAATAATAAAGAATGAAAAGTGCCAAGTAAAGAACACACTCTTTCTTAATGCATTTAACCCTCAAACAACTCCATGTGGCTAGGTCTAATTACTGACCCCAAGAAGAAAAACAGTATGGAGAGATTTAGTAGGCTGCCTGATATTTGGCTTTACCACTTCAGACAGGAACTTCTGGACAATACTACCTCTAGCAGAGCAGGGATGAACTTGTGTTTTATATTACTAAGCTGCAAATGGTCACCTCTGAGTTGTAGATTTACTGAATGTAGGTATATTCTATAATACCTTTCTATAGTGATGGCCTTATAGAATAGCTATTCCTCTCTTGTCACATAT